GGCTGGATTTATTTTAAAGATTTTTAAAACAATACTGACAACATCTTGGTCTAATGTTGATGGGCTGGCATTTTTTGTGCTTGGTGGCCGACAACATAATTTAGAGCAAGCTGGATGGAGCTCTGCTGGTCTACCCTGATCCTCCCTCCGGAGCCTCGGAGCACCAGGCCGGGCAGGACGTCATCTCCCCGGCTCCAAGTTCAGCTGGTCACCGCGGAAGATCCTTCGTTGTGCCGACTCGGAGGCTCGGGTTCCGGATACCAGCCTTGTGTGCTCAGAGCTCCGCTGGTCACTGCAAAGCTGGAGATGGGGACTCGCAGATGGACGTTGCCAGACCCCGGCCGCGCGTAATCATGAAGGCTGAATCCCGATCCCACCCGGCAGTCAGGCGGACAGTGGAAGCGATTTTTAAATAAAATAATATTTTGTTTTTATACAAAAAATGTTTTGAAAAATTGCTGAAGCGATTTAAAAATGATTGTTATTTTTTTTACACGTAAAATGTTTTTTTAAAATCGCTTCCACCGTTCGTCGCAGACCCGTCTCTGTCCGCCTGTCTGCGCGGGTCGGGTCTTCATGATTACGTGCGGCTGGAGTCTTGGAACGGCCTCTGCGAGTCACCAGCTGAGCTCGGAGCTGGGAAGATGAGCCTGCCCATCCTGTCTCCGGAGGAGAGGCTCGTCATAAAAGAATAATATCTATACATATATATCTATATATATATATATATATATATATTTTAGCGTTGAAGATTAAAAAAATAAATAAACGGTGCCAGATTCATCATGAAATACTGTTTTCACTTTAATGACTGTTAACTCAGCTGAAAATCATAAAAAGACACAAAACTATTGGATCTCAGAAATATTTCCCTCAAACATGTTTAAAGAAAAGAGACGACCTTCAGTTCAACTTTATTTTAACTCACAAATGTACAAATCACAAAACAAGAACTTTAAAGCAAAGCTAAAAATAAAATGTATATATGTGAACAAGAAAGGAAACCACATATCTAAAATGAACATTAAAAGTAGACACAATGAGTGCAAATACATCAAATGATGATGAAAACCTATAAAAATTTAAATGTAATGTTTTTGTAGAATCTGGTTAATCAGAGTTTTAATTTATATACACACATATATATATATATATATATATATATATTTATATCTATAAATTTATATAGATAAATATATATGTATATATATAAATACATATATATGTATATAAATATATATGAATATATATAAATGCATATATATGTATATAAATACATATGAATATATATAAATGCATATACATGTATATAAATACATATGAATATATATAAATACATATACATGTATATAAATACATATGAATATATATAAATACATATACATGTATATAAATACATATGTGTATATATATACATATATGTATACATAATTGTGTGTATATACATATGTGATATATATATCACATGATATATATATATATGTGTGTGTGTGTG